CGTACACCTAAGTCTGCAATTTTCCTGCAACACGCGGCAGGGTCACGCATGGATGAATCAGTCATCTTATACAATTATCGTGAATATGTACTACCAACCGAACTCCCATCATGCCAACCATCCATCGATGTTATAATACGGGACCGTCCGCTGCTTGTTGACTTGCGCCCGAGAGAAGATGTGTGCTTCCAGTCACTCGGTCCGACCTACCGACCGGTGGTGGCGAAAGCACTCTTTACATCGGCGCGAGGCCATTCAAATAGCACATCACCGCCGTATACCGTTGTTGTAGCTGTGGAAATCCGAACCTCGATTTCCCCATAGAATTTCTCGCATTCTCGGAGGACCCTGTTGACTAGACCACGGCTTAAGCTTGGGTCGTCAGCATCGCCGAAGTGTTTTTCGACTCGTTTCCGTAATGCTTCAACACCTTTACGTACTTCGCGGGCATCGTAGCCGCTGAGGATCTTATTGAACGTCCCCCTTGCATTGCTCGGTTGTGCGGCAATAATTGCCGGGTTTTTTCCTGTGGCGAGTTGCGCTTCGATATTTTCGAGATATTCAAGCAACTTGCCCAGTGGTCGGCGCATGATTGCATTGAGGTAAAGACCCATGTGCTCGCTCATTTCGCTTGCCGCAGCTTCTTTCCAGTCTTCAAGTATCTCCAAACCGTGAGTATCGAGCTCCTCAAGGAAGTGGTTCATATTCTCGATAAGGAGGATATGGTAGTTCAGCGCTTCCTTGTCCTCTGGATCGGCTCCGCTATTTGTGAGAGTGGAGGGGTTCTCGCGAGCAATAACCTTAAGGGAATCGAACATAGTCTTGATGATACGGTCGTACTCTCTGTCTACAGTTTTTCTAACAGAAGAATTCGTATCAACTGTCAAAAGCATCATTTCCACAGCATTCGAGAAATGAGGGAAGACTCGCATGAAGGAGATTACACCCTTGCGCTTCTTAATTTTAACCTTCGTATCCTCGATTGCACGAATCTGCCCCTCCACGAATTTTGTGAAACGCGACTCGAGATTGCTGTGAAGCTTTTGCAACACGTTGTTCAAGAAATCTTGATTAGAGTGCGTTATTTCTAAGTGCTTGTGCTCGAGTATTGAGAGAATGCCGACTCCTTGTCTGTTTTGGAATTAGCTATGGTCATTTCAAAGCAACATAAATATTTGCACTTACAATGGATCCTGCGATAGCACCCAGTCGATCGTATTCTGCAATTCTTGCTCCAGGAATGAGAATATTGCTTCCATGGCTCTTGTTACTCTCCTAGCCAATTCCCGGTCAGGCTCCATCAGCCTGTGTCGCTTCAGATCACCACCTCGCCGATCTCGTGGTTTTGACGCAGCCACAAGATCAGGGAAATCAGCCGTCTCTAAAGTGGTTGCGTGGAAAAAATCAACGATGAAGTTTTGCTCGACCTCGATAAGGGGCACAAGGTCATCCATCACTCCTGCAAACACTTCATACGGTAGGTTACGACCATCTGAAATTTTGTCAAGGTTCGTCTTACTACCGTCACCAAGGGGACCCCGCAAGCTCCTAGCCAGAGTCTGGCTTCGTTTCACGGTGATCTTTCTGGCGGTTGCCATTGTGCCTTCCTGCTGTCTCTCAATTTCAGCAGTGAAGAGAAGCTCTGCCTCGTCGCCCGAAGGTTTCCTAGCGTTTCGCTTCCACGAATCGAGTATATCCCTGAATCTCGATTTGTAGAGTGGGAGATTCTTCTCTTGGTATGCCTGTAAGCATTTATTCCAGCCTTCAAGGTTTACCTCCCTAGCGTAGAGTATCAGAGGACTATATCGCCAAAGCAAGTCCCGCCCGATGTCGTGGTGTCCGGGATCGATCTTTTTGGACAAAGCTCCATCTACGGCCGACCGGATTTCCTGGGCTGCTTTATCAAATTGTCGGGACATGAAAGCACTGAACCTTTGGAGAAATGCTACGCTTTCTGAACGGTACATCTCTTTTTTCTCCTGGACGATACGCATTTTGCCGTAGTCAGTATTGAGGGTAGAATTTTGTCCTGCATCCTCGCTCTTTCGAAGCTCTGATCCTGCGGCAGAGGAGTCAATCTTCATCATCGCCTTGTACAAGGTAACAAGCGCTGTCTCGACCTCTTCAAGACCTGAGGTCGTCTCGAGGGGTGCTATTGTAAGGGCTTGCAGGTCATCAGAGGTGATGGCACATGTGTCAAGCAGAGACTCCAACTCTTTCCTAAGTAGTTTTTGATTTGCTGCTTGTACTTGTAGACCCTGGCCTTGCGCTTCTATGTACGCGATATCATCGGATAATGTCTATACGGCGATTAGTGAGACTCATTTAGGTGCGTGGGTTCACACTCACAGATAATTCTACACTGTATAAAGTTAGTAAGTTGTCGAGTTCGTCGCACTCCGCGATGGAAACGTCAAGACCCTTTTTAATTGCCTCCACTCGATCATCCTCTTCTTGAAATCGGACGACCCAACCTCCAGCTTGAGCTTTATTAAGCTCCCGATCTATATCAAGTTTCATCTCCTCAAAATTACGACCTCGCATTTGTTCACCAGGCACCCAACCAAAGTGGTCTAGCCACCTGGCAAATTCAGAGGTCTTATCAAGGAATAGGTTCGTATCCACACCGAGAGCAGATAAGTATTTTGTATCATTACCGGCTACAGTTAAGCGTCGAGAGGCTTCCTGCTGACGAGCTGCCTCTAGACTCTTCCTCCGATTTTCTTTAGCGGAAGCTTGTAAACTGGCCGGCCGGCTGGAATTAGGCACTGTAACCTTCACTTCAGGGACGAAGGAAGCTTTATCAATGAGCTTCTTCTCAAAGTCTAGAGGTTTGGGAGTTCCTGGCTTGGGTTCTGGTCGTGGCGGTGCCGGGACAACGCTCGTTATTCCGTCTGGACCATTGAGGTTGGTCTTGCTTCGCATTTCGCGTAATCGCTCTCCAGCTCCGCCAGGCCGCGGTTTAAATGCTGCTGCTGCCGAAGCCGCTTTCCACAGGGCCCCAGCCAGATCACGTTGAGACTTTGGCTTAATCATAGGCCCTAATCCCGGACGGGTCTCCTCGTCCACTGGTGAACTGGTAGACGGTGATCCGGGTGCTTTATTTTCGACAACCGATCCAGATGTAGATGCCATGCTATTTTTCCTATCTACTGGACTCGAGGAATCATCAGGAATAGGCTCCGGTACTGGTGTTTGCTTTACTGCGGGAAAGCTAGTCTCCATCCTGCTGTCGGCAGAATTCTTTCGGGGCGACATTCGATCCGTATTTCTTGGCGGTGGTTCCCTTCGCATGGCCTGGCTCATTAATGGTGCTGGTACAAGATCATCATCTGTGGTTTCCTTCGGCCTCGTCGGATCCATTGGCGGTCTTTTCCTGTCGGGTAAGTCCACTTGTGAAATTGACCCAGAAGGATCACCGAATCTACCAAAGGCACCAGGTCCAGCCAACCCCCCTCTTGATCGCGGCGGTATGCTTGAAGTATCATCACTTCTCGTTGTGGAGATAGAAGCTGCTATGGATTCTTGACTCTTATTATTGCCAGCTAGTCTACGTAAAGCGGCAGTTTGGCTCCCTGTGCGAGCGGAGTCTGCGCCGAGTGACGGCGCTGGCGCTGGCGAAGAAGTTCCGTTAGAAGAAGCTAGCTTACGCGCAGGCGAACTAGGAGGTTGATTAGGGCGGAAGGGTTGGATTCCGCTAATGGCGGCTGTCGGAGGAAGATTATTCTGAATAGGTGCAATATTGGGTTGAGATTGTACGGGATCAGGTCTTGAAATTTTAGGTTCCATTCGTGGGGGGGTGGCAATTGGCCTTGAAGGGGGAGGCGTAGGGGTAGGGACAGTTCGCAATGAGGGACTCGATTCTGAAGCAGGTACTCGGCCTGGTGGCGGCCTTCGTGACCCTAAGACTTGTTCTAGTTCGCGGGAGTCGAAGCCTTTCAACTCTGGTATGCTACCGCCGGTGTACTTCCCATAGATCTTGATAAGACTAGCAATAAAAAACTTCTTCTCCTTGTCGGCTTGGGCCTGCCAGTAGTAAGGCTTCCCGACATTAACGACAAACCCAGTCTCGCCAGCCCATTCTCGTTTCTGGGGATCGCAATTTGAGGAAGTAAAGGACTCGATAGCACTGAGATCTTTTAAGTCCCAGGTCTTTCCAATGGAGAATGTGCCATTTATATTCTCTTTGGACTTGTGCATGCGAACCCGGCCTGACTTCCGCACTGCCACAATGATGACTCGAGGTTTGTCGGACTGCGATCGTGCTTCGGGCGGAGGAGGCGAGGAAGGGTGGGAAGAATACTCAATTATCCTAATATGGGTAATATATGTTTCGAGTACTACACGGGCGCACAATATACGTCAGCGCCTGGTACGGTTGGGTAGAACACAAGCAATAGGCAACACAAAAACACCGAGGGCAATCTTACTTGACCCATCAACATCCTTCTTGTTGAAGCAGCTTTCCACAATGCGCCTCTTTTCGTCCTCAAATCGTTCAGCTCTGTTAGAGTCACGGCCAAAGCCGGGACCGCCGTTTTGGCGCTGGTAATCCATGGTTGACGGAGTATATCGTCTGACGAATTCATGAATATAGATGGCCGAGGACGGTTCGCCGAGGTTCAGGGACCATTTTCGAGTCCGTTCAGTATCTCAATGAGCGACAGCGCGAGTTATTGTGACCAAGCTTGCGGAATACCTAGCTAGTTCAGCCTGTGGGTAGGTCTCTAGGATTAAAGGTCGACTTTAACAAGCGCGATGGTGGTGGTGATAGAAGGATAGTCGAGTTATGGGGTAATGCTTAATGAAGGGAACGTTTGATGATGTACTGTGTACAATTTAGTGTCTCAGGGAGTTGAGGCCAAAGCGTCTTTAGGTTATTGCTTTCTTGGCATTACCGTTTGATAAGCTTCAAGGTCCGCGAATCCCACTTTCCTATGTCAGAATGTTCAGGGAGCGTGCACTTAACGCCACAATTGAAAGCCACATTTCACGTGGTATTTTATGTAAGCAGTTTGATTTGCTAGGTACTAGGTACTTCAGACAATTAAATGGAGGCTTCCAATTGAATTGAGTGAATCTATGAAATTTACCATATTTCGTAGAGTCGTGAGCTTGCACTACATGTAAGACAACCTTATAAGCAAAACAAAAGTACAACAGGTATCTTGTTTGAATATATTTCTCAATACCTCTCTTCAATTATATCTCTCCATGATCTCCTTAACCTTTTGAAGAGGGAGAGCCTCGATCTTGTGCTCCTTATTTCCTACCATTGTTTCTGCCATACACAAAGCATTGTATATCGACTCTTCAGTAGCATCTGCAACAGCTTCAAAAATCCCGTTGATCGAAGTGTCGTCTATAATATCAATTGTGATAGGCGTAGGTTTGAACCGGTCGACTTCTTTCCGCTCCGTCGATTTTGACTGAACTGGAATCTCGTTTCCGGTTGAGAAGGCTAAGAACACATCCCCGGAAGGGTTGTGACCATAACCGCCAACCTTTGACAGCCCCACCGTTGCTCTCTTAGCAAGCCTTTGCATTTGAGAAGGGTGAAGAGGCGCATCTGTCGCGATAATTACAATAATGCTCCCATCTTTTCTGTTCTTCTCCTTTTCAAGCGCCTCTCGTGCCATTTTGATTGCTATATTACTCTCGGCAGCTTCATCGGCCTCCCGAGCTAAGATCTTCCCAACTGGTACGCCTGCAATCCGGAGGTGCTGTGGGCGCCCATAGTTAGCCTGCACTAACACACCCACAGTATATGTCTTTGGCTGGCCTTTACTGTCGAATCCCTCAACGACTCTGCTACTGCTACCGGTGCCACCTTTGAAATAATGACATATCACTATGATAGATTGATTAGGACGATTTGCTAGCTAAGTTATGGCGTAGATATGACTTACTTCCAGTTCCACCACCGACGTTGCCTTCCTTGACGCGGTCGCTCGATACGTTCTCGAGTCCTTTAATAATATGCTCGGGTTTGACCACGAATTGAGTAAGATCGTTTAGGTATCCATCAAAGGTTTCCGCAACCACGGGCAGGAGGAACCAATCGACATTCCCCTTGGTCACACCCTGAGATTTGATGGTATATTCATAAATTCCCTGATACGCGGCACCTACGGAGAATGAATTTGTGATGACGATGGGAGAATGCAATAAGCCCGTTTCATTGATCCAGTGGCTGCCGGTCATCTCACCGGAACCGTTGAAGCTGAATATTCCAGCGTGACAGGCGTTGTAGAACCAGTTTTCTCGAGGCAAAATACAGGTGACGCCGGTATTTACGGCACCGTCATCGGCAAAAATCTCCTGGGTGTGGACCAGGACGCCGGGAACATCAGTAAGCGAATTGAGGGGCCCTGGTTTCCAGTATCCGAGGTGTAAGTCTGGCAAAAGATCTCGGAGTCGCATGCGAGGCTCCTTACCCGCGGCTGTGCCTGAAGCTGTTGACGACATAGTGAGAAGGGTGCCGTTGGGTTCAATTTGAAATTTATGTTATTCTTTTTCGCTTCTCGTCTCCTTGCGTTGCTGATGTTGGCCCCAATCGAGGGGATTCCCTTTATATTGGAACATATTCTTGTAAGATTATAAGATTGTAATATTGATAGATTGTTGATAATCACCCCCCAGTTGACTCACGCCGAGAACTGGCGAATCAGGATCGTTAATATGAATGAAGCTTTGCTCGATGTGGGAGATTAGTGACGTTATAGTATCTAAGTACCTAGATTTGAAAACCCGATTGTATTGGCCTATTGGTAGGGTTCGTTGTAACCTTAAGTGCCTATTACAACGAATTAGAATCTGCGCTAGATTAATTTCAATGTTAGAGCCATAGAGGTGTATAAGTTTCACAGACTAACCTCTAGTTCAGGCTTTACTTTGAGTCGGGAAGGTGAAGCTTACCTGAATACATACCTACCTAACCTAGTAGGTTAGTACATACAACAATGGATCCCCAGAATCATTGAACCGGGCCTTCCTATTTTGTTGCCATTATGCGGAGAAGCTATTTATTACCGGTTCGAACCGGTTAACAAGCCTTTTCCCCCACAGCGGGATTCATTTTACCCCACGTTGTCTTCTCTGCTTTTGTTCTACCTAAGGTTAAGAGAGATCCTATCCATCTTATCCTCTCACATTAATAAATAGAAATAGACAATAGACGATAAGTTCATTGTGTGAGAAGGAGAACGGTTGCAACTACAATTCAATATTATATACTCATTAACCAGTCAATTAATACTCATTTAAAACCCCCAAAGGGAGAGATCGAAACACACATAAACCTCTAGTTATAAAGATGGTTGCTGCAGTGCGAGTGGCTCCGAATGTGAGTTCTCGAGGTTGAATATCGTATTATATGAGTGCTAATACGCAAGCAATAAGGCTGCTACAAGAGCAGTTAGCCTTCTACGGACGGTTCAGTATGCTCATCCACCAAATTGTCCATGTCATTCAAACCCGGGACATCATCATCATCATGCAAGACCTCAAATTGACGCGTATGCTCAGCATACTAATAGGCGCATCGGGAAACGCGGCTTCGCTTCCCCTATAGACCCTTCTCAGCAGAAGGAGTATGCATTTGAGATGGCCGCCTCTTCGATCCGATTTGGCCCTGGTGTCACCCAAGAAGTTGGCATGGACTTTAAGAACATGGCTGCTAAACATGTCTGCGTCGTAACCGACTCGACCGTCCGAAAACTCACCGCCGTTAAGCAAGTAGAAGAGGCCTTATCGAGAGAAGGCATAGCATATGAAATATTTGATAAAGTACGAGTTGAGCCAAAGGATAGTTCGTAAGTTAACACCAAACTCTGCAATATATCTCATACCTTGACTTACTCAGACATAGTATCAAAGAGGCCATTGCATTTGCCAAACTATATCGGCCGGATGCTTACCTTGCCGTAGGCGGGGGCTCGGTGATCGACACGGCTAAATTGATGAACCTCTACACTGAGTATCCCGATGCTGACTTCCTGGATTTTGTTAATGCACCATTGGGTAAAGGACGGCCAATTGATAAAAAGCTTAAACCTCTAGTCGCCATTCCTACTACAGCGGGTACCGGTAGTGAGACGACTGGCACAGCCATTTTCGATCTCGTGGAAAAGAAGGCTAAGACTGGCATCGCGCATCGCAACTTAAAACCGACACTCGGTATATGCGACCCGCTCAACACTAGGACGATGCCTTCGGCAGTGAAGGCAAGTTCTGGATTGGATGTTCTTTGCCATTCACTTGAGTCGTGGACAGCCATCCCGTTCAATGAGAGAGTACCCCGGCCCTCGAATCCCATATTAAGACCTGCGTACCAGGGCGCAAATCCCATCAGTGACATATTCTCTCTAAATGCACTTCGAAGTACCGTCAAATATCTGCCGAGAGCAGTCAAGGACCCGGAAGACTACGAGGCCCAGAGCGAGATGCTCCTCGCCGCTACGCTTGCTGGCGTTGGTTTCGGAAACGCTGGTGTTCACTTATGTCATGGTAAGATACAGTATCAAGTATAAGCTAACGAGAGGGTCTATACTAAGAGAGAGTACTAGGAATGTCATATCCTATCTCCGGTCAAAATCCCGGTTACAAGCACGCAGGATATGATGTAGCAACGCCTATCATTCCTCATGGCGTTTCGGTCGCAGTGTCGGCGCCCGCTGTGTTCCGGTTCACGGGTGCATCCAACCCTGATCGCCATCTCGCTGCCGCAGAAGCGTTCGGTGTGGATATCACGAATGTGAAGCGTGAGGATGCCGGCGAAGTCTTGGCCGACGCCATCACACGATTTCTTGCTGAACTAGGAGACCAACCGAAAGGACTTAAAGAGCTAGGCTTTGACTCGAGCCACATCGACGCCCTAGTCGAGGGGACGATACCTCAAGCTAGGGTCCTGATGCTGGCTCCTGGTCTGGCTAAGGAACTCGAACAGGAGAGGGATCAGCTGAGGAGGCTCTTCGAGGAGGCTTTAACGCATTGATAAGTACGGTTACCTGTTATGATGTACACCACCTATAAAAGGCTGCAATTCATATATATAGTCTAAATGTCAGTTAATGCTAATAGAAAGAGCTGCAGGATTAGAAGTCTTAATGTGATTATGCTAAATAGGTTTAAGAGGTCGCCGATGCCTTTAACATACTCATCTTGTGTCAAGTTATGACTAGTTCTCGTTAGAGTCGAATCAAAAACCATCTAATATTATGTTTGCTATGATCTCATCTATGTAGCCTATGTACCTTAGGTGCCTAACCTATTATGACTTCTTTGTTGTCGGGAGTTTTATTACTTTACAATCAGCAGTTAGTTATTATGTAGTTAACAAGTAGTCGCTTTTTTATGCTTTTGTTAGTATTCTTCGCAAAAGCAAATTGTTTTAAGGTACAATTAGGTAGTTGTAGTAATATAGAGTAGCAAGTGGTAGGCTGAGACTATGCAAATGAGACTTTAGCTATTGCCGAATGTAACGAAAATTGATACCACCATGTTGGATTAAGCAAGCTCTGACAACACCTTGAAGTGTCTTGGCAATTACCATAATTGTAGACCAAAGTGCAGACCCTCGGATAGACTTCATAATCTCGGTTAGTATTTTAATGTCTCTTCGATGTTTCTTAGAATAACTCGTGGTTATCTTCTACACTGTTTATTGTTTATTTGTCATAGCTGAAGACTGGTTGAATTACCATCGTAATATCAGGATACCCCCACAGTGTACCCCTATCGGCGGATGTGACCTACCTGCGAGAAATCATGCTCACAAACAAGCAATAATCGTATAATGCTGGGCTATCAAGTTATATGTAAGTCTTCAACGGCCTATTTCATTCATTAAGCGACATGGAAGACACTTATAGTGCATCATCTTAATTTACCGACCGAGTAAATATCCCGTAGCGCGATCGGAGGTGCCGTGGGTACATCTATCGATCTTGCAGGGCTTCCGCTATGACCTGCAGATTACATCGGGGCCAAGTCCGTCAAAGCAAGAGCCGAAGATTAATAGATGCTACTTAAATCAATCAACGGCTTCGGTCCGAAGTCTTCGGCCCTACAAACACGCGCAAAGAAGGGCTGCAAAGTTATATCAATGTTGACACGGCGATGAGGACAATGTTGCTCTCGCGTCTAGCTTCGGCTGGATTTGCTTCCATCATTGGTTCGCTCGCTAGGCTTTGACAGACGAAAAGTGTAGGCTCATAGCTTATAACCCGATACTCCGAAGATATAACGAACTGAAAGGCTTCAAAGAGTTGCGAGGTTAGAGCCTACCGCCGAGGAACGTACGGATCCAATTAAGACCCCTCCTCCTCTCTCTCCCCCCCGCGGGGATCCTAGTAGTGGTCCTGATCCGGCCCGTTGGGAACCTTGGGTTAAACCGCATCTTTTAGCTATAGCATTATGTATACCTATCACGCATAATCTAATATAGTTTAGGTAGGTAGGTAATCACCAAGATTGCTGACTGCTTACATCCCAGATTCCACCAATTACATGGTAAGCTTAGGGTCCGTTTCTTTTCTAGCGCCGAGAGACCTCAGAATGCCCATTATCGACACGACCCTTCATATCGCGTGTTGGTGGTCGATTCGAATTCTAACCCGCGTGGCGATTCTGTTTCTTTGTAGATTTCTCTCAAGTGCTTACAGTACCGGTCTATCTTCGCTACACGAGTGCTACATACCTATAAATCTACATATATCTGCTCGTGCCAGTGGGCCAAGATATCGCCAAGGCCGTGGAAGCGAACCACTGCCGGGGTGCCTTGGCATCTAGAACTCGAATCCTTATGAGTGTTACCCCTGTCTAGTCTCTGCAGTGGAATCACCAACAGTAGAGAATGTCTTTTTTGGGTGGCACAGTATTTCAATTTGGGATCACGGAATCCATTCCCCCGCCCCCCTTTTCGGGACTTGCTGCTTGGAGAAACTAGGGTAAGAAATGGGGGACAAGGGTGCTCCATAAAGAATAATAAAATCACTATCACGTCCAGAATCGATATGGACGGATGCAAGGCTGTTCATCTAGCTCCTCTCCGACACGTGTAGGAGAACCGTCGCAAAGATATTCGACAAAGATGGAAGAAAAGGAAATTAACGCGGCTGGTGTTTTCGTGTCTCAAGAGCAGGTTCCCGTGAGGGAGGGATCAGGCTCGACGACGACAAACGCTCCGGGTGCCAAGGCCAAAGTGGTACACAACGTACGTTCGATTCGACTTCTGTCTTTTCTTAGTTTAGATATTTAACTAGACACCAGGCCGAACTCTACGCGGCGATCCAAGAGACTAAGATCGATTACAAGAGCAAATATTCGATACACCTTTACTGTATGCATCGAGACGAGGCCATGCGCCATCCTACTCTTCGCAGATTACTGATTACTAGTAGTCTCCATCTGCATCGCGTTCTGTTGCGCTTGCGCCAATGGATATGATGGTAAATAATACTCTATAGAAGGGTTCGAAGATTCGTAGATCGTTGACAGACATGATCATCTAGGATCACTCCTTACTGGTATCGTCGCCATGGAACATTTCCAGAACACGTTCCATAGCGGCAAGACCGGTACTCTAGTTGCGCTTATGTTTTCTCTATACACTGTGTTCGTCTCCCCCCCTGATTGCCTCGCTTGTCTATATTCATAAGCTGACGGTCTTGCTTTAGTGGTGCGATGGTCGGCGCTCCATTCGCTGCGGTCCTCTCTGATAAATGGGGTCGCAAGATCGGCATGTTCAGCGGCGCCATTGTCATTATCGTCGGAATGCTTATTGTTGCCACCGCTTCCACAATCGCACAATTTGTCGTCGGTCGCTTTGTTCTGGGATTCGGCATTTCCGTCATGACTGTTGCTGCACCGGCTTATGCTGTTGAGGTAGCGCCTCCTCACTGGCGAGGTCGAGCTACTGGTATGAGACACCTTTTGATATTATGCGAGTAGTATAGCCGTGGCATACTAATAGTCTCACCATAGGCTTCTATAACTGCGGTTGGTTTGGGGGTGCCATTCCTGCAGCTGCGGTCGTGTATGGATGCAATAAAATCGACAACAACTACTCTTGGAGGATCCCGTTGATTATTCAGGCGCTTGCTTGTGTAGTCGTTCTACTTGGTGTCTGGTTCATCCCCGAGTCACCTCGATTTCTCATGGCCAATGGCCGCGAGGAAGAGGCGATTAACTTTTTGGCGAGGTACCATGGGAATGGTGACCGCAGCTCTAAACTTGTGCAGCTTGAAGTTGAGGAAATGAGGGAGGGTATTCGCCAGGATGGAATTGACAAGAGACCCTTGGACTGTATGTCTTTCCCTTTTCCCTCCGCGATCCAAGTACAAGGACTAATTATTATGATAGATCGCCCCTTTATTTTCAGCCATAGCGGACGTTGGCGAATCGCTCAAGTATTGATGATTTCTATTTTCGGTCAATTTTCTGGTAATGGATTGGGTTACTTCAATACCACCATCTTCGAGATCATCGGCGTCACATCTGTTGAGCTGCAGTTAGCCTACAACCTTCTCAACTCTGTGCTATCTGCCATCGGGGCTTTGACTGCCGTGGCTCTAACAGATACTATGCCCCGTCGAAAGGTGTTGATATTCGGAACACTCGGTTTGCCTCCCTTTACCCCTGAATCTTATTGCATTCTTGCTGATAATTGATTGTCTCGTGTAGCCTGCGCTGCAGCTCTAGCTACTAACTCCGGCCTGTCCGCCACCCTAGATGCTCAAGGAGAGAATATACAAGAATCTTACGCCAAGGGTGCATTGGCGTCTTATTTTCTTTTTAACATCATATTCTCCTTCACTTATACACCTCTCCAGGGTGTTATTCCCACTGAAGCGTTGGAAACTACCACTAGAGCTAAAGGTCTTGCTTGTTCCAGCGTTCTCGTATATGCCATGGGATTCATAAACCAGTTTGCCGGACCGATTGCTCTGGGGAATATTCAATACAAGTATATATACGTAAGACACTCCTTATGACTACCTACTATTAACTATTATAAAAAAAGAAAAAAGAAAAAAGAAAAAACTGACTTAACTCTTTGTAGGTGTTTGTCGGATGGGACGTTGTTGAAGCAATACTCTGGTATTTCTTTGGGTTCGTAGGCCCTTATTACCGTGTCCTTGTAGTGTTCACTAACTCATTATCTACAGTGTTGAATCGCAAGGCCGAACTCTCGAACAGCTCGAATGGGTTTACAATCAGCCCAATCCTGTCAAAGCGTCACTCCATGTTGACAAGGTTATCGTACGCGAAGATGGCAAGGTGGCAGAGAAGGTGGTTATGAGTAATGCATAAGCACTTTTAAGGTATCTAGATATGAAGTCTAATCTAACAAGAGCATTGAATCCGCATTGAATTTGCGTTAATTATTATCATTGGCACTGGGGTTGGGAAGATCCGGGGCTGAGTCGTAGAGGGATAACATAGGCAATGACATCCAGAGTTATATTATCATTGCTCTAAGCTATATACTTCCCTCCGGATCTGCCAAAGTGACGCAGGATCAACGACTAGGAAGGGCAGTTCCAGATGATAGATTGCATCTCCGTGAGACTTTATGACCCCTTGAATATACTTATGCTTTAGTTTAAGTTGATGTTCAGGGAACGGAAGCTTTGAGACAGTGAGTTGCCACGACTTGACAGCAAGAGGACTCGACTCTAGATGCCACGTTCCGTGCCAAGTTACCGAGGCACTGTCTCTGTCTATACGATAGATGAACGCACAGGCAAGTGCCTTTCCACCGTTCCATATTACAAATGTATGTGTCTTGGGCATCTTCTATACAAGGACACTAGCTCGGCACAACAAAACCTCAATCTGCTTACGCTTTCCCCAATTGTCCTGAAGGAGCTGCGATGTGAGCGCCAGAGATTGAAGATGTGACCAGCTCCACGTCGACTGACAGTGTTGAAAGAATTCTTCGGCATCGATCATAAAGGAAATAGTAAGGTGTTGTAGGTCAAGGCTTTTAGATGCGAGAACCGCACTAAGCCCTTCGTTGGGGTCGACCAAGTTGAACATGGGTATACGGGCTGGCCTTTTCGGAAATCGGTCGTAGAATTTGTAGGAGTCCTTAAATATTATTAATTTTTTGAGAGTATCCGGGAGACTATTTCGCATTGTAAAAGAAAGAGCTATCTCTAAGTATCATCAATGAATGGCCAGGGTGTATTTAACATAGTGAGAAGATGAAATTATTCCTGCTACAGTCATGGGTTCGTACCTCGATCACGAAATTCTCTCATAAAATCTTCATATGGTGCCCACGGCTCATAAGATATATGCTCCAGACGGTCAAATCTGCTGAGTAACAGGCCCAGTCCAAATTGAGAAATACAACGCCGGAGTTGTCAACGGATAACGAAGCAGGTGACTGCTTTAACTCGAGGTAAAGTTTCGGGGAAAACCATACGGATAGGTCGGAAGAGTCGCATAATAGCTGATCTTGGAGGAGCTTTAACTTGTCGACCATGCACCCAGCCATGCTGCAGGTCATGAAACGGGATTTCAGTCCTCCATGCATCCGGTATTCCACTCTCTCTATGCCCAACATCATCGGAGGATAAGTATAAGTTCTTAAACCAGTGTTCATAGTCGCTAGGAGAGTATATATTGATCTGTCTGTTTTATGGGAACTTTAAGTGACCAACTCTTAATATTTTGCTACGAATCGAGGCGTATGCCTCTCTTCGCTGTTATGCTATTAGAAAACGGTAACCCCGCTCTAGCTAGATTCCGTCTCTAGAACAGCGCTTTTTTGACTTTATCTGCATCTCTATGCTATATTAGTATCGAATCTGAAAAGGGTGACGTTAGGTACCTGGGTAGGTAGGTGGTAGCTAATGCATAGTTGCGCTGTCTGTATAGTTGCACAACAAGTAGTTGACTCATACATACCCTAAATGTAGTATTTATGCCAATCAAACATTCTATATGATCATTACTTGCTTTTTCTATCTTCTAGAACCACTTGCCTTATATCACGGCGTACAGCTGCGGCTAATAGTCATGTAGCAACTCACCTAGACACATATGTTTACCCCAAGTATACATATAATACTACTTACACTTAGGTAGCTAAGGTTTATCATCGAGTTTCGAAGTCAGGTCACCATTGAACAAGCGCATTTGGATATTCATTAATAGGAGGTAGCTGTTGTTAGGGTGTAAGTGTAAGTGGGTCAGTGGTGGATTCAGGGGTAAATCTATTATATCAGAAGCGTGCGGCGCCCTCGTAAGAGGGTAGAAAGGCAGGCGCTAATAGTTACATTCCATCTACCCTATCATTCATTCTATGAAGTTCATTAAGGGTACAATATCTAGCAGTTGTACTTCGCCTAAGTACCAGAGAAGAGTTTACAGAAAAGAGACTAGCATACTTCAATAATGCAAATGACATGAACAGGTCCCTTGATGGTCATTGTAATATTAACCCTGCATATATGTATCTTACAAATTTGCTGAGAATAGTAGCCATGCTTTATGGCGTACTATAGGACATTTGTGCCGGCCTTGGCTAACATTTAACCAAACATCTTCCTTCGGCTTGATCTTCATGAGTACACCAATGTGTTAAGAAAGGAATAAGAAGTCAAGAGGACTACCTAACAGAATCATGGCATTATATCTTGCCTTGTGGTAGAGACGATGATAATCCCAATGAGAATATCTAGGAGTAGATTTGGGGTCGTTATTTGCTGGTGGTGGGAATTGCATATTAGCAATTAATTACACGAGCAAAGAATGAATAGCAGAGTTAGCCAACACGTGATAGCACCTGTTACTAATGTAGAATACCTAATGTTTTGAAAAAATTTAGGTAAACAAAAAAAGAGATGTCTTGTTGCATCTATCATATGCGTTGGCCTGTGTATCTAAGATGGGCCATATTCTGGAGAATACATCAACAAACAACCTTCTTACTTTCGATTTTGTAAAGATAAGCAGGTACCTAGGTACTGGTAGAACTGGACAGTAATTCAAGTTTCAATGCATGATTAGGATATTGATTTCAATTAGACATATACCTAAGTAACCTAGCTATTTCCTTATTTCCTTATTGTAGGGTTTTATGGGTATGGTCCCTCAGCCGATAATCATTGCTGTAGACTTTCACTTGCATGTTATGGGAAGTATGGGCTAGGATTCTAAATTAGATATCTAGAACAAAGGATACTGTTAGAGGTATGCATGGCCATAAGCTCCTGTAGCTAGCTTAGAGTTCCTCACGGAACAACTTCGTTGTTTCCTTGCTTCTTGTTCCACCTCATGACAAAATTGAAGGGGTGATATTGCTTAATTGTCGTGAACGGATCCGATAATGAATTAAGAGGAATAAAACTAACGATTATAAGGGTAAATCGACTCCACAATTCCTTTTCTGAGGCACTATTCCGGCCACCTGCTACCTAATCCTGGCAAGCCTTCGAGTATACACACTGTTCACGTCCATATCCATATGAATACCGCTAATTGGCTAAACTTTGCTCTACCAGTCATCTTCGGGAGGAGGTCGCGGCTGGCTATGCCATTTGCCAACCTCGCTTTCTTGAGGTAGCACCGCTGGTCGGGGTATTGCAAAGTGCTCACTGTAGTCTAGCCCAGTGGAAGTCTTCTCAATCTTCCTCTTGGTAGGCATAGGAGCAACAGCCCGATGCTGAGCAGCGTAATGTGCAAATCGGCAGGCGTCTTGGGGCTTAGTACACCGGTTACCATCTGCCCAAAAATGGCAAATTAACGGCTGACGTAGCCCATCCGGAATATCCTCATGGTAGAATTTGCATTCTCCATTTTCGTAATCGCGGCAGGCGTAGCCAGCTGTCGACCACCAAGGACAGATGATCTTGGGCTGGCTTCCGGACTTCGTACCAGCAGATTTTGTCGAGCCACGGCTGTACTTGTCTCCAATAGACATGTTCCTAGTAATGGGGATTAGTAGGAATTCATAAGGTATGTTAGGTAGGTAGTAAGTAAATATGAAAAGGCTACTTACCCTAACTCATTACCCAACCCGAGGAGATCTTGAGACTGCACAGAAATAGGTGTCTCTTTTCCTGGACCTGGGAGGCCAATTGTTGTCTCCGCCGCCGTGGGAGTGGCGTCGGTGTTGGCACGGTTCTGGTCTGCGTCTGCATCGATAAGACCCATTATCTTTTCATGGGTGGCATTGCTGATGCGACCAGCACCGAGTAGAATCCCAAGTCCCTGTTGCAATAACATGCTGTCAATACTCACATCTTTGTTTCTAAATAATCACAACGATCAATAGTAGGCTTGACTTACAGTAAAGACCTGGGTCATGCCCCGGTTAACCATGTCGTTGTTGGCCATCCTGCGATGTTATGTTGAGTAGGTAGGTAGGCTTAGATAGTAGTTACCAAAAGGATAAAGGTGAGGAATTATGGTTAGGTGGTTAACTGTCCTGAAGCCGTTAATGAGATGGAGGATATGGTGCGGGAGGCCGGAGGAGAGAAGTTAATATCGGGCAGATGTTGTTGTCGAGTCTTGAGTTGAGGGTTGGGTGAAGGTTGATAGAATTAATATATGTGGCCAAGGTGTAAATATATGGCTTAGGACTCAATGTATCGATGTATCGGTTGAGTTGATCGTGGAAGTCGCGTTGTATCCGTGCAAAATATATAAGGAACGTCGCTTCCTCAGAGTTGATCAAAAGCTTCGCGCTAATAGAGTAGCGCCTCAGCTAATGTGTCAGGGACATGTTGTAACCCCGGATATAGTAATAATAATAATAATTTCTTAATCATGAGCCTGCTGATTCACTGAAACCCTCGTTAGGAGGGAAACAGCATCGTACGGACCACAACGCGACTTCTTTGTAGGTTAGGTAGGTTGGTTATGTTAGGCAGTGATAGTGTAGAGTAGTTTGTTCTTGGCATGGTGTTTTCCTAGTGACTTGCTTTATGTATTTCTGTGACAACGAAGCTTGGACCGCTATAGTAACAGTGTTTAGCAGTACCTTGGTACCTGACCAAGTTGCACCTTCCCTTGAGCTCTGCTACAATGCATTGACCAGATGACTGATGTTTGGTGAATGTTTAGGAGGTACCTAGGTAGTTTAGTTACTTACTTCCCTAATTAAAATTAGTTTATTTTAATCCCATGGCGTAGAAGCTAAGAGTGTATCATGAGGCTTGACTAGCGGGAAAAGAGTGACACAAGAAAATAAATACGTACATGTACATAGGTGCTTAAGCAAGAAAAGTATATTTGCAGTAAATTAGGTAGGTTATCATTCTTAAGGGGCTTAGTAAATAAAAGTTATCGTATATATTGGTTGAGTATTGTCAGTTGTGGGTTATATAGACTTAACCCCTAATTTGGTAGAATGGGCTTGTTAGGTAGGCAGTTTACTACACATCGACGATAGTTAATGAGTTTCAAAAGCATACTTACACGTATAATGAAATTTAAAATAACATGCTTAGCTCTTTTGGAAGCTCGAAAATCCGTAGAACCCCCCACAACATTATATACACCAATAGTCCGAAGTTCGAAAGGGGTCAAGGCGGAAAGCCAGTCTCTTATATTTCTACTTCCTCTTCCTTAACCAGTAATAAAGGTTATTAATACGGTTGTGCAATATTCTTTGCAAACACTACCTAGGTACCGATTCTGAGTCATGTATACTTCACTTGTGTAAGTAAAATCTTTGACGACACGTACTTCCGGGTGAATTGAGCAACCCATATCTGACTATAGCCAGGACTGTTCTATCATTTTCCGCTTTAGTAACAAATTGTACTATACTGGAGAATACTTCCGCATCATATTCTACTCTACGACGTCATACTGACAACAGTACTATTCCTATGATAATAATGACTAACAATACTCAATTAAAAGCCGTGTTCATATTCATTGAGAATAACTTTCACTGAGCTTGTTCTATTTCCTATGCCCACATAAGTAAAGAGTATCAACCACAAACAAGCGCAGCTCAAAACCACACTTGAAAATTCTATACTGTTACAATGCCGGCAGCCATAGTCACTGGTAGCACAAGTGAGTCTATTGTCTAATGACTTAGACCTTTATTGGTCATAAACTCAATGTCCATCCGGTTCGCGCAGTGCTTCTGGGCTAATGGCTTTTACCACTTAGGTATCACCCGGATGGCGGTGGTTGACGACTTAAACAAGTCACCTGAGTACACAGAAATATACACACTATCTGTGTAGGTCCCAGAATTCTTCAGAGTACTCCCAGGGTCAAACATGCAACTCTAGTCTTACAGTCATCGGCAGAGGATATGAGCAAGTCCCTGTCTCATATCCCGCCCGTGACAAGAATTTACTTCTGTGCCTATCTGGCGAACTCAGATGAGGGAGAAGCCTCACACATCAACGGCTCCATGCTATCAAACTTCCTTGAAGCGCTCATCAAATCTAGTCAAACTTGTGAACTAGAGCATCTCAGCCTAACATGTGGCCTCAAACAGTATGGGGTACATCAAGGACAGCCTAAGAATCTCATGCGTGAAGATGACGAAGAATTGCTGTTTTGGCTTGAGCAAGAGGATCCCCTCCCGCAACTTCTATTACATCCAGCAGCGTATTCTAGAGAAGTACACTGCGGACCACCATAACAATTGGACTTGGGTCGTGACTTACCCCCAGCATATCATCGGCCTCGCTAGGACAAACCTCATGAATGTTGCTGCTTCGCTTGGCTTGGTAAGAGGTATATTCTTGATTTCATACTAGCTATCGAAATGTAGTGGATGAGTCCCTAGTATTATATCTTCATGCATATATGACCACTACAAGTTAGACCAATATGACTATACTAATCCTCTATAATACTATGCTGTTAGCAAGAAACTTGAGGGCTTAATGAAGCTTGTGTTACTTGGGAACAAGACCAGCTACTTAGCCTTCAATGGTTGGACGTCGGCTAGGTTGCAAACTGATTTCTACCTCTGCGAGGTCAAATCTCCCAATGCCAATAACCAGTGCTTCAATTTCGTTAACGGCGACACGCAGAGCTGGAGGAGGCCAAGACATTGCCACCTCTTCAGGCTTAGAACACCTAGTGCTAGTACATATAATTGCTACAACACTCGCTGTCATTACTTCTCTTACGTCTGGTTTAGTGAGGATGATATACCGATATCCTTGTGATATCTCTAGGTTAGGCGTCTAAATACATACGTTAGCGGGACTTGAGGGCCACAGGTGGAAATTTCCTATGATTACGAATAAAAAGGTTGATACTCTTTTTCGCCAAAATATAACGAGCGTGTATACATGTAGATCTAGGTACCTAACGCAATATCCATACATACCTAGGTACCTATTAAATACATGTGTCAATCACCTGTTAGAGGTTGTCGTATATCACGACCTGTAGCAGTTTCCAATAAGGAAATCGTGTATTTGATGTTAGAGTACTTGGGTACCTAGGTACTTAAGATGATGCGCATCTTATACACAGGAAAGTGCGTTGTTACCTAATTCCCTCATGTCTAGCGCAATTGCCTCTCTTGACAACATAAGTACATATCTACCGGATGTACCTTTAATTCTGTAAAGTATTTCCGATTTGTGAAAAATAAAAAATAAAAATAAAAATGGTGGGGCCAATGAAGAGGGGTGATTCAACTTTGCTTAGTTAATCGAGGTGGATCAAGGGGAAAATCTGGGGTAAACCAATCGGAATTTTTCAGGCAGCAAACTACCCCAAATCAGCCGTCGCCCTGGGTGATCTTCCCGCTCCTCCCCCACATGTATATAAACAAGGGTCCCTCCCCACCAACTTGCATTTTTTCCCTTTTCCTTTTTTTCCTCATCATTCAGGAAGTCGGTTCGGACACATGTACTAGAATAATAGCCTTCGCCCGGGCCTATCTGGTGTTTCGAAAGATCACCTTCGGGGTCTTTTCGGATTCGAGTCCCTCTTGAGATTGTCAGCGCCTTGCCGTGGCTTTCAGGGGCCAATCTTTGCATCTCACTCGTCCTTGCAGGGTGCCCCATTCCCTGCATGAAGGGTTGCATCCCCTTGGGCAGCACATCGTTGGTTGCATCCCTTCGATCCTGTGCCTCCCGGCGTTCATAGTGACACCGATGCGCGTCAGGTCCGGATCAACTCGCCCCCTCGAGTCGGCCAGCCCACTGTGCAGACGCTCGGTTCGGTTGGTCAGGGGACTCCACTGCGCTACTCATGTCTAGTAAAATCTCGTCGTTGGATCTGGGGGGGTTTGGTCTTTCGTGAGTTTTACATCGCCTCCGTGTTAGACCTCTGATTCTATAGTAGCAAAGAAATTCTCATGCATCGTCGGCTATCCTCCCGTTCTTGATACTTGTTTCTGAGGGCGAGGGAGCGTTGGTTGGTTCGGATATGCCAATGCGACGAATGCTTGTTGTTCTTAGCCCAGCGTCTCTTCTTGTGGTCTCATCTAGTGATGTCTGACTGTACCTGATTTTCTGGATTGCACTTCTGCTTTTGCTCTGTGGGCTGCCCGCGGCCCTTGACCTTGGTATTACACTGCCTCCAAGGCCATAAACGCGGGCATCACTGTTTTTCATCACATTTTCCAGCTTGCTGGGGATATGAGGAAGAACTTCCATTACTATGGTTTACTTTCGTACCCGTCTGCTCTAATGCTGCACACATCACGTTTGACGATATCTTCCCTGTTCTGCTTCTACGTTAGAATAATAACAAGCATCAAAATTGGAAAGACTTGTACAACAATATTACTATTACATTATAAATTGCAATTACTACATTAAGTCGTATAATCATTATTAGACTACTTCCCTCCGACATTCCACAGCTCGCCGAATCTGGTCCCCGCCTGCTTCACCAATTGGGTTGGGTTGCCTACCTCAACAATCTCACCCTTATCCATAACGACAACACGATCATAATCCATGACCATGTCCAAGTGGTGACTTATAGCTATAACTGTGTACTCCTTGAACTCGACGCTGATCACCTTCTGCATTACCTTCTCGGTCTCTCGGTCGACGCTCGAACTTACTTCATCAAGTAGCAAAACACCACCCTCAGTACCTCCACCACCAAGCCCAAGACTGCGTGCTCGGACGCGTCTACGAAGGATTGCCCGAGCAAGTGAAAAGAGTTGTCGCTGTCCTTGACTCAACGTGCTAGCTGTCAGCCCTGCCTTGAGTCCACCCCGATCACGCACAAATGTCCATAAGCCTACTGCTTCGATGACGGCCCGAGACTCGGCGGCCGTCGACACAGTTGAAGGATCTAGATTTTCCTGGAAAGTAGAACCATCGGGTAGGAATACAATATCTTGGGGAATAGCAATAATACGCTGTCGAAGAGTGGTCCGATCCACGCGGTGGAGAGGCGTATTGTCTATGAATACGCGATCGGGTGTATCGTCGACCGGGTCAAGAAGCTTCATCAGGAGGGCGACGAGAGATGATTTCCCACTTCCTGTCCGACCACAAACCGCTACCTTTTCCCCGGAGGAAACTTCGAGCTTAATATTCTTTAGTGCCATGCTTGGTACTTCAGTAGCATTTTCGGCGCTGGATAATGTAAGCTCTTGTTTCGTTGAATAATAGAGGGAGGGGTTGGTACCGGTAACTAGCCGAGACACCTTTGAGGGAAATTTCCCCGTGCTGTGGCCACTCCTCAGGCGGAATAATATCCTCGTCCTTCTTGTCCTCCAATCCAGAATCCTTCTCGAAAGACTTCAGTCGAGTAATAGCACCAAGCGATGTTTCAAGCAATGTATAGTACGTAACAACGTTTGTAAGTGTTTCTCCGAATCCCATCAAGGCTACTAAAGACGCGCCGGTGAAGCCGGAGTTGGAGCGTAGGCTGATGGCAAGGGATGTAAGCATAACGGCTATTATAGCAACGACGAAATTCAGCACTAAACCAAGCCACCTATAAGACTATGTTAGCGATCAAAATGCACTGAGAGTACGAGGTTAGGTAAATATATAAATTCATAAAAACCCGATACAGAAGGTAGTCAGCTAATTTGTGAGAGGGAGAACTGACTGTTGAATCATGGTTAGGAGGTATGCGGGTCGCTGGGACGTATCTAGGAGGTAGCCATTCTTTTTACGGTCGTTGGCAATAAAACCAAAGGCTCGAAGGGTGACAACACCATTTGAAGTGTCAATAAAATGAGTGCTATGTGTGTTAGTAAAATCTGCTAGATTTCGACACAATCATTCAGATTGGTGTAGCTGACAGTAGAGACCAAACCACTATAAGGTCTGTAATTAATTCAAGAGGATATTTACTTACTATAGCGGGCTTTTCGCTTCTAAGTCTAGCAATCTCAACTGTCTTGAAGTTCGAAGATAAAATTTTTGAATTCCGTATAGTACAGCTATTAGAAATGGGTAACTAATTGCTAGGAATGGCGACGAAGTAGCGATAACGGCCGCCTGGCCAATGGCGACTAGTACGGCGTTTATTACGTTAAGGAGAGCATGAGGCAGGTCGTTGTCGATAAGGTTTAGATCTTGAGAAAACAGATTCGTGATGGTCCCCTGGTCGGTTGTAGTTAAGAAACTTAGCGGTGCATGTGTAAGTGTTCGCAGAGCATCGTCGTGAAGAGACTTCCCTGATCGGTTGATAACTGTAATGTAGATTAGGATTGCAAGGAATAGCAACGACATCAAGGCGCTCGTCTGGAGCAAAGCATAGATTCCTGCATAGTAACTAAAAGAGTGCACCGGATTTGCAGCCGTAGCATCATCCGACCAGTACTTCAGCCATACTGTTGGAAAATTGCAAAAGAAGCCAAAGAGCATACCCAAAACGAGCAAACAAGTACCGAGTACCATCCCCATACTCTTTAGATATACCATGTAAGCTGCTTTGTCACCCGTTAGTCGTGCCTTATCGTTTATTTTCGGCGCGGGAGGTAGCGGAGGTATCTTTCCTAATGAATTATCTGGAGGCTCAGGGGCGTCAGGTTCGGATTCGAGTTTGTCACTAGCTATCTGGCTTATAGACGAAGACTTGACGCCTAGGCTATGAATATAGTTTCGATTAACCATAAGATCGTCGAATGTGCCTTGTTCAGTGACAGATCCGTCTGGAGCTAAAGCAATAACGTGCGCGGCACTTGGGAGATGACGGACGGAGTGAGTACACAGTACGACGGTTGTTTGGCGTCTTTTGAGGATCCCATTTGCCCCAAACACACGCTGAAATACCAGGTCTTCAGTGTCCGTATCTAAGCCGCTGAACACATCATCCATAATAAGAAGGTCAGATTGCAGGTAAAGGCACCTCGCTAGCGACACACGTTGCTTCTGACCTCCAGAAAGAGTTATGCCATTGCTACCGACATTTGTCATATCTTTCAGAGACAACGTCTCGAAATCAACGCCGAGCATTGTTACATCAACGACCTCAGCATATCGCTCAGGATCGAAAGGCGAATATCCAATAATATTCTCCCTGATACTGCTGTTCGAAAGAAACGGTGTTTGGTCACAATATCCGACGCGTTCAAGGTTGCTAGTTATTGTGACTGTTCCCCGATGATATGGCATTTCTCCTAGGAGTGCTTTGCATAAAGACGATTTTCCCGATGCAACAGGACCAACGATCATCGTGAGACAACTTTTAGGGATCTCA